TGTCTGCTGATATTGAGGATTCTCAAACAACACATACCTTCCCATCCCTTGTCTACCTTGAAATCCCATTTCAATACGTTTCATTATCCTGTAAGTTAAATAAGAAAAGCTAAGAACGTAGGCAAGGCTTAACAGTGATGATCCATGTGAAGAGTGGTTATTTTTCTGTTTTACATTAAAAATTGAACAGGCTTTGAAAAGAAGCAGGCCCAGGTATTGTTTTGAAGTGAATTGTAACATCAGCAGAAGTCACAGAACTATCTACAAAGCCTGGGCAAGATTTTAACCTTTTCATTACCCAGATGAGACTTGCAGATTAATCCTTTTTTCCAGAGAAAGAAAAAGAGAGTAATCAACATGTGAAGAGACTTTATAAACTATTAGAGACAGTAAAGAAAAGAATTAAACTTCAGAAAAGGTAGAGAATAAGGAGATGCTTTATAAGCTGAAATATTTTTCTGTTAAAGCTATGGAGATGGACAATAGTGATCTGAAAAAACTCCTTTAATTCATGACAGAGTATATTGGGAGGAATGGCGGGTTCAAAGTGTGGATTTTGAGCAAAAGGTGGAGTAGTTGGGATACAGTGAGGTGCTGGAACAGAGGGGGGAGAAGTAATAGTTGAAGATTTAGGGCCATTGTAGAGGCAAAGAGAAAACTTCTGTTTCCAGAGAAGCTCACAGAGACAGATGAAGAGAACTTTTGCCTTTGAATAACTCGTCCTTAAAAATGACATCCCTAGATTCATTGACCCATACACACCTCATAGTGATGTGAAATGGGAGGAGTGAACTGATGACAGATTTCCGGGCAGCTGGCATCAGAAAAATAGAGAGCTATAACAGAAATAGCTTTCTTGTGAGAAACTCCATAGATTAGCAGAAGAAGACTTCTGTTTCTCTACAAAGACTGATGAAAAGACTAGCAGGAATTGGGACTGTTTTAAACACCAAAGTTCCAAACTTTTCTGTCTCTATATTGTCATGTGAGCAAGGGAATGGTTGGGTAGTGGGGGATAAAAGAGTTTTCTGGAAGTTTATTCTGG